CCAAAATGTATAGTCCATAGTATCTACAGGATGTATGGGAACATAAGTATAAAAAGAAGATGTGGTATGATTGTCAATGAGACAAATCTCCACAATAGACCAAATGACACAGAAATTAACAACTATAGGTCACCGTACGGCCTTCAACAATGAACAAAGCCCATACCGCATAGTCAGCTAGAAAAGGCCCCGAAATGACAAATGTAAAACAATTCAAACGAGAAAACTAACAGCCTAATTTATGTACAAAATAATGAACGAAAAACAAATATGAAACACAGCAACAAACGTGAAATAAGTATTCATATTTAAACTGTAAAGCAATACATATTTAATTATCATATTTAGATTGTCAAAAATAAAATCAATGTTTGTGTACCCAAGACAAGTTGTTTGGAAACACCTTTACATGGCTTTGTACTTTAATCTTTACTTTCCTTTCTCTCAGCAGTGATTATTTTGGTTGTTGTGATACACATTCAGAATAAACTTTCGCTTAAAATGCACATCACATTTAATTAGCATATTTGATCTAACCCTTTCATCCCCAACGATACCTTGAGGCATCGCCTGGCGCGCGCCCAACGATGCCTCAAGGCATCGCCTGTCGCGTGCCCAACGATGCCTTCAGGCATCGTAGAATTAATTCGACAATAAATGGACTGCACGAACGTAAAATGTTACGTAAATGCATGTTGGGTCGAATAAACGATGTGCATGTTCAATCTTTCGTAATATCTACTTGATTAGGGCATAGATGCCGTTTGAAACGTAAAATAACCTGTTTGAAATACCGAAGCAGGTGCAAAAAAAATATCCTTTCTCGAAGTTTAATCAGAGTCAAAATTAAAAACAAATGTGAGTGTTTTCAATCTACCATGTGTTTCCCTGGTGCACTAAAGTCACAACGAGGATTCTTGGAACTCATTTGCATATTGTTATGATTTTATATTTTCACAAATGGTAACTAATAATACGTATATGTGTAATTAAAACATATAAAACCGAGTATGTCTCGCATAGATCTTGATATTTTCTTCAATTTTTTTTAATAAATAAATATTCAACAACTCTTTTCTTATCAACTAGCATTGAGCGTTGGAATGTGTATTCACATTTCATTTTATTTATAACTCTGACCTTATATCGTCCAATTAAAACTAAGGGTTCCCTTCTTTATACATGTGATACATGTATGTCATGTGATTAAAAAATGTCGTCTGTAAACCAAAGAACAAAATTGAAATGTCCGATTCTTCAGACGAGGAATTCTTAGGTTTTGAAGTCGATGAAATTCAACAGACTGTTCAACGGTACGAACAAATATTACTAGATCAAGGAATTAGGGATGATTTTGAATTCAATATTTCAGGAAACGAGTCTGAGGGCTCAGAAACAGAACCGACCATTCCTATCTATAATGTCAATGACCAAGTAGTCCCAGATATAGACAATGTTGCAAACACCTGGCATCACAATTTTGATATTCATGAAAGAGGTTTACCTCATTTATTCACACCTAGAGGTCCAGATGGAAGGGCAACAGGCCCAGCTACCATTTTAGCTGCTGATAAGGGTCCAATAGATTTCTTCAAACTTTTCTTGAATGACATAATTTTTGAACATATAATTAATGAAACTGAAAGTTATGCCATCCAACAAATTGCTGAAAACCCAGACAGTAATAAATCTGCCTGGTCAAAACCTAGTTTGCCAGAAATTAAAGCTTTTATTGGTCTTTGCTTTTTGATGGGAATTGATGTTAAACCAGAAACCAAACTATACTGGTCAACTGATCCCTTCATGGAATCTCCAATATTCCGTAAAACAATGCCCAGGAATAGATTTATGCAAGTCATGAGGTACCTTCATTTCAGTGACAACCATAATGCACAACAACCAGGTCATCCATCATATGATGTACTTTATAAAATAAGAAACATCTTGAATATGTTTAACACATCAATGAAAAGAGAATTTGTCCCTACACGCCAGGTCTCAATAGACGAATGCATGATCCCCTTCAAAGGAAGGGTCAAATTCAAACAATATATGCCAGCCAAACCAACTAAATGGGGTATTAAGATATAGCATTAGCAGATTCAAATACAGGATACATCTGCTATACAGATGTTTATACAGGAAAAACTGATAGACCGCAAGGCCAATTGGGTGAACATGTAAAAAAATGTATAGAGGGGGCTGATATTGTTGGGCAGGGATATCATGTATATGTTGACAATTTCTTTTCTTCACCAAAACTATTCCAAGACCTGTTTGATAACTATCAAACTGCAGCATGTGGAACAGTCCGCAAAAACAGAAGCGGTTTACCAGCTGATTTCATGTTAAAACACCCTGTTGGTATTGATAATAGGGGGGACATGAAGTTTTTTCAAAGGAAGTCGATCTCTGGAGTCTTATGGAAAGACGAAAAAATTGTAACTGCAATTTCAACAATCCATGATCATTCCAGGTTTGAAGTACAGCGTTTGGTTCAAATAGATGGGCAATTTTATAAAGCAGATATACCATGTCCAAAAATCATAGTCGACTACACTAAATACATGGGAGGTGTTGACAAAGCAGACCAGTATATTCAGTACTACTGCTTTAACCAAAAAACCCAGAAGTGGTATAAACGGGTGTTCTTTAAATTTCTGGAAAGTTTGAAATACAATGCATACAGGCTTTTCTTATTGAGTCCAAATCATCAAACCGTTGGAAACTCACCTGCTATGACATATCTCCAATTCTCACGTCAAATTGCCAGTAGTTTGATAGATGAGTACTGTGGCATTGGTACTAGAGGTCGTCAATCTGCAGCCCCAGTACCATCACGTCTTATAGAGAGACATATGCCAAACATTGTGGGGAAAAAGTCATGGTGTCATGTGTGTTGGATGAAGGTTTCCGCTGGTAAACAGGACAAGAGAAAGCAAACAATGTATGGCTGTCTTGAATGTGGTAAACACTTGTGCCTACCAGAGTGCTTTACAGCCTACCACACAATGGGAAAATACTGTTAGCTATTAACTTGTTACTCTTTAAACTGTTTGTTTCTTTGTTGGAAAGTTCTTTGGATGTTTAGAGCGTTTGAGACATTTAGTGTTGACAATTTATTCTAATCATGGAGTTTTTACTTAAATTACTGTTGGAGAAAATTATTTGAACTTTTAAAACTGTGAGAATAATCAATTATCAAGTAAAACAGTCTGCTTTCAACCAGTGGTTATCTGCATAAAACAACTTTTCATGTTTTCTGGGACTCCTTTCTTATTAAAGTAAGTAATTGTTTCACCTGTTCATAAAAGTTGACTTGTTATTTGACTTGTAGTTACATGTATTCCAGTTACTTTAAAATTTCGTTGTCAGCATGCTAAATCATTTAACGTTACATGTGCAGATCAGAGTACACATTTTTGTGTATTGATCCTTTCGACTATAAATATCTCGGAAGTCTCCGGATTAAAACGAGGCTATGACAACATTACACAAATGGCTGAACGCTGATACATTCAATAAAATGATGGATAGATAATGAGAAAATATCTCGATTTCTCTTTAAGTAATCGTTCTCTTGATTAAGGATGATCTTTTCTGAAGTGATTTATTAATAGGGAAAACAATAATATGCACAACTCGTGGACAATTAAGAATTATATAAGTATTTCAAACTTTTTTTAGCGAGCGCTTGTCCGTAAAACTTATTGTTTCGTTTTACTCGCATGGTAAAATGTACTTAAACAACTTTAATATTCTGAAATTTTGTTACTGACAAATGGGTTGACATGTTATTCAACCGTTTTCATTCCGTTTCCTGTCTTGTGACGGCTGCAACTGTCCTACACCCCCATATACTAAACATAAGCGAAAACGCGCACTTATCTGGAAATTAATTCGGGCCGGTAACGGTCTCGTGCAATATTTTATAATGTCATAGAAACGCATAGACCAGTACAATCCGGTAAGGAAAGTGTTAACAAAATCTCATGTCGATTTTTTATTTTATGATCCGTATTGCACTTTTGAAATAGCTGCAACTGATTGGCTTATATATACTTTCTCGTTTCTCGTTTTTTTTTTGTCGAGCCTGCGACTTTTGTCGCAGAAAGCTCGACATAGGGATAGTGATCCGGCGGCGGCGTTAGCTAACTTCTTAAAATCTTTGTATTTTAGAAGGTGGAAGACCTGGATGCTTCATACTTTGTGTATGGATGCCTTATGTTACGAAGTTTCTGTCTGTCACATGTCCATTGTCCATGATCTCATTTTCATGGTTCAGTGACTACTTGAAAAAAGTTAAGATTTTTTGTAATGTTAATTTCTCTCTTATAATGAGTAATAGGATAACTATATTTGGTATGTGCGTACCTTGCAAGGTCCTCATGCCCGTCAGACAGTTTTCACTTGACCTCGACCTCATTTCATGGATCAGTGAACAAGGTTAAGTTTTGGTGGTCAAGTCGGTGTATGGAAGGACTGTAAGGTGTACATGTCCAACTGGCAGGTGTCATCTGACCTTGACCTCATTTTCATGGTTCAGTAGTTATAGTTAAGTTTTTGTGTTTTGGTCTGTTTTTCTTATACTGTATGCAAGAGGTCTACTATATTTAGTGTATGGAATGAGTGTAAGGTGAACATGTCTAGCTGGCAGGTGTCTTCTGACATTGACCTCATTTTCATGGTTCAGTGGTCAATGTTAAGTTTTTGTGTTTTGGTCTGTTTTTAGAACTATCAACATAATATCAATGATTTAATTTAGTAAAGAAGGTGAGAAATTTCAGCTTGTGCACTCTTGTATATAGATTAGACCGTTGGTTTTCCTGTTTGAAAAGTCATTATTGGGCCTTTTATAGCTTGCTGTTCGGTGTGATCCAAGGCTCCGTGTTGAAGGCCGTACTTTGACCTATAATGGTTTACTTTTACAAATTGTGACTTTGATGGAGAGTTGTCTCATTGGGACTAATACCACATCTTCTTAGATCTAATTAACAAAGAATTGTTAATGTTGTGTATTTAATTAAACATTACAAATTCAGGAACATTCACCAACTGGATGTGAAACTGGAATAATATAATACATTTCGTAATATTAACTAAAATAAGATGAATAATATTGACATCAGAGAAACTTTTTTGATAATATATAGTGATGTCCTTAATCATTGATTGATTCATTGTCGTTGGACGTTATTTATCCTGTCGTTTGTTTTAACATGGAACACATATCGTTATAGTTCTCATCAAACTTAGAAATCATGTTCCATGTGGCCATCGGTGCACAGTCCTCAAACTGTAATAAACAATCCCGACATCGGTGGATAACTCTGTAAATATAAAGTAGAGATTTGTATTAAAAAATGATGCTTTTTGTTACTTTATAAGTATTTTTAAATGTGTTGACCGCTTGATGAAGTGCGTACCAACCCTTTCACAACTCTATATAATTCTGGTAATTATATAAACCGTGACATAACGAGTTACAGTCAGTGCACGACCAAAATTATTCGTCACTTTTTTTTCTAAATATTTCATATAAAAAACACATTTAAAAAAAATAAATATTTTAAAGATTTTTACGAATTAGGTGTTAAAAGATACACAGAATGAATTCATAACAGTGTGGATATGGACACCTGATATTTATATGATATCGTGTCGGTCAATGGCTGTCGACAACAAAGACTTCACACAATTACAGTATAGTATATCAGGGACCTCTCAATGGGGATATACATAATTACTATTTTACACATGTCCATTCATAAAATTATTTTTTTTGCATAAAAATTTATAGAAATTTGTTTTAAATATATTCATATATTCACAGCAAAAAGTTTCTTTTGAAACAATGAGTATATTCAGAGGTGATATCACCAAGTAAACGAGAGAAAAAAAGTAAGAAAAATTCTTTTCTGGCAATAAGTGAAAAATTAAGTAGTGATGTCAGTTGTAGACAAGTAGTCCATCATGCATTGCAAATCATTCAGTGGATTAGTCAATCGCCAAAATAAAATAAAAATGTTTTATTTGTAAACAAACACTAATACAATGCATTAACGGGGGCATTAAGTATGCTAAATAATACATGTCCGTATAAGGTAATGTGCCCGACCTGTTAAATGCAGCTGTTCTGTTGATTTGAAAAGCGATTGGACGGCTCACAGCGATTTAATTTAGAATTGTACTTATTTTTTTTAATTTTGTGTTTCAGTATCTATCCATGAATTAAATATGTTCACAATACCTTTTATACTAGAACAATTAAACGAGTGCACCCAGTTTAAAGGTTATTTAAGCTTTCTTACAATTTGACGAAAGGTACGAACGCTTGACGAATCATACGTAAGACCCGTTTGATGGATCCTTTATTTTGACTTTTGAATTCTTTTTTTTTCAAGGCTTTCATTGGACTAAGATGGCGTCTAGCGTCAATTTTTACACATCAAGGACTATTACACTGCATGCAACAACATATGTCAAATTGAATCTTAAATTTTCATGCGACATCGGAATTTTGTGACGAACGATGTAAATAAAAATATAAAACAAGGGTGAAGGAGACAACTCAACATAATATGCTAAATATTGACTCGTCAATGAAAAAAATACCCTTAAAAAATTGTGCTAAAATACCCCCCTCCTCCCAAAATAATAAAAATACTTCTTTGCATTATTAAACCCAAGAAAAAACCAATGAAATATTTAAAATCCCACCACAAATAAAATAATACAAAAAGTAATTCCTAAATTGTAAATTTTGAAACCCTCCAAAAATAATAAAATTGAAAAAACTGACACTTAAAATATATTACAGGGCTCTCTTACTCATTCAGATGTTCGAATGTGTAATACATGTACAAGAACAAAACCAGATCCATATCTAGTTGATCTATAGTTACAGCTAAAGAGCGGATTCAGGAGTGGGGTGCACCTGATGTGTCTTTACTAGGCAGACCCTAGCTTTCTAGTCTGGCATTGGTCTATTATATGCACAACTAAGCCAGAGACAGAGAAGCTTTAATCTTCTGCAACAAGTTTTCCGGTTTTTCCCCCCAGTATAACTGAGACTAATATACTCAACATATCATGTCCCAGATAAAAAACGTGTTGCTTGATTGTTTTTTGTTTTTGTTTTTTTTTTTTTACTATTTAACGTTTGTTATACCGTCTGGACTATATAACGTTCATACTGAGCTCTATTTGCATTTCTCAGCTGTGTTCCCCTGGATCTCCTAGATTTATTTTTTTCATAATTTTTTCCATTCATTGTAGGTTCTTTGTCTGGCAATATTGGTGGCATACTCATTAATAAATAAATGATAGTTAAAAAATAGTTGTGAATTTTGTTTTTAATTAAGAGTACCATACTGCAAGAATTTCATTAAAGTGTTAATGGTTTAAACATTTAAAAAAATGCATGCTCAAAAATCCCCGCGCAAAATTTTACACTGAAATCATGACTAAAATTGAAAGATTTGTTTATTTTGCATTATAATAGAGATAACTGTATTGTATTTGAAGCTTTGCGGACGTCCAGGTAAACTAAATTTGCGACAGTAAAACTACCGACGGACGTCCGCAAAGCTTCAAATACAATACAGTTATCTCTAATTAAAATTTACGTTCGGACGTAAAACGTTTCGAATGCGAAATAATTTAATTTTTGATGTAACAAATCTTCTGATTGACTGAAAGTGTTTTGTCTATCAGCTCATAGACATAAGTTTGTCATGTGACCGTGACGTCACCAACGTTTTTTTTCTTCAAAATTTACTCCTTAAAAATGGAATATAGAGTTAGATTATAAGGAATGACTGTAATATTTTTTTTATCTATTCGAAATAGCCTAAAAAATGTGATGCACATTTTAAATAACCCGCTATGCGGGTTATTCAGTGTGCACCACCACATTTTTGATCTTATTTCTTCATAGACAGAAAAAATATTGCAGTCATTCCTTAATTAAATTAATTCGAATTTTTTAATGCGAATCAAATTCGAATTACGTGTAAACGCAGCAATAGAACGGCGATTCATACCTGTAGAAAGAAAGAAAGAAAGAAAGAATACACTCTTGACAATCTTCAATTCACCATAAATAAAATTAAAGATTTATATCTATAGTATATATTAACATACATCCAATATCAGTGCACCCAAAAATAACTTCCTTCCCCTCAGTAGGGTACACAAAAAGGAGTACCTAATGCTAGTAAATTTAGACATCTTTTCCCCATAATTTTCTCAGTCCTGGTCCGGAATCTAGTCCGGGTCCGGAGTCCCATCCGGTCCGGTTAAAGAGCATACCCAATCAAATAGTTAATACACTGTTACAAAAGCAACGAGGTATTCCATGATGCAAATTATTGAACGTATTTATAAATTTTTAAGAACATATATTTTATTTTATGAACACATATTTTTATTTTTTTGAATGAAAGTTTTGTGTAAAAAACTTTATGAATATATATTGCACCTTTTATGAACAATTATTTTACTTTTATGAACAATTATTTTACTTTTATGAACATATATTTTACTTTTATGAACATTATACATTTATTTCCCGTGCCGGAAGGAGATATGAAGATTTGTTCACCCAAGAATATTCATATTTTACGAGGGTGAGCAAATCTTCATATCTCCCGAGGCAAAGAATGTTTTATTCTACTGCCTATGCTTTGTTTACTATCAATACATTGAATATTATTTTGCATACATTTTTTTTTCTTATCCGCTTGTTTTTGTAAGTCAAACTAAACACGACATATCCATTGATAAACAGTAAGGATCAAAATTTAATTATAAGTCTTTTTGTTTTATCGTCTGAAATAAATTTGAACAAGATACTGATTTTTGCTATCGCTATTTTAAGAAGAATAAGAAGTTCAAAACGTTATGTACATTAACCCGCGCGTGACGTCGCACGAAGTAATCCCGACATTTCAGAGGGGAATATGATCCTCAGAATGGAATATGAAGATTTGTTCAATGACACGTGGGATAGTCTCAACCAATCAAATATTGATTAAACTATCAATATGTTTAAACAGTGGAATAAATATTTTACTTTTATGAACAATTATTTTACTTCTATGAACATATATTTGTTTTATGAACAATTATTTGTTTTTATGAACATATTTATCATATACTTTTTTAAGAACAAATATTTGTTTTATGAACAATTATTTATGTTTTATGCATATATATATTATTTTATTAACACATATTTTGATTTTTTGAATATATATTTTGTTTTTATGAACATATGAATACTTTGAGATGAAGAACAGCAATAAAAGCGCTGTTCCTTTGCTTGTGTGTTTTTTACTGTGCATGTACTGATAATGTGTCATGGATGGATACCCCATATCTTTGTTTTTCTATTATATATTCGTTTTTACGAACAATTATTTAACTTTATGAACATACATTTTATTTTTTGTGAATATTGCAACGTTTGACATGCCATAGTTACTGTTATGTTGACATAATAACCTGTACATTATCTCGTGTTACAGTTGACCAGTTAAGTCTTGTACACATAATTTATTATTCCAAAATGGATGTTTTGTGAACATATCATTAAATTCATGGATATATATTGAAACACAGAAACCGAAAAAGAAGTGAGTACAATTTCAAATTGTAAGGGGGCGACCATTCCTGATTCAGTTAAAAAAAAGGAGGGGGTGGCTATGCAAGAGGCTTTTGGAATCAGCATGAATAAAATTGCAAATAAACGTTTGTGCAGAATTGTCTCCAATATGCGTCCTCAAATAACAAAAAAAAAATAGTTGAGTAAGATCAAATTCATTGAAATTTCCTGCTTAATTTGTAGTAAAAGAATGTAGATCCCGTAACTTTTGTTATAGGTGATCAGGTGTAACAAAATCTAAAATAAATATTAATGTTTCAACAAAAGCTACTCTTGACTCCAATCAACGTAAATTTTGCACACAAGACCGGATTCATATGCTTCTTGATATTTTCACGAGTTAATTCTTTGTTAGAATGATATTTAAATGTTTATGAAAATCTGATCGTTGGAGTCTTCGATGGGAATTCACATTTGTTCCTGCAAAAAAATATGCAGCCCAGAGGACTAAAATTATTTTTTATGAAGGTCTAGTGTTATTATTACCAACAAAAATAATCTTAGTACGAAAGTTGATGGTAACTAAGGTTACTCTACATCAACTCGTACGAATAAATGTTTTCTAATTTTTTAAGGAGCCACAGAACGTTTGTGCAAGAAAAAACATAACATTTTTTCCTGGATTACTTGGTGATATCACCTCTGAATATACTCATTCTGTCA